GCCATTGCGTTTCGGATTCAAACAGAAAAAGCCGTAATAGTTGAAGCCCCAGGCTACGACCCCTGAGCCCTGAGCCACGATCCTGAATTCTTCGGAGCATGAAGAGGCCACCTTCGGCGCAAAGCAAACAGAACAGGATGAAGCTTCGAGGACTGCTGCTATTGGGGCCTTACTATTTAGAACAGGGTTTTGGGGCCCACTATACTATACTGGCAATAAGGAACCCCCAAAATAGTATGGGTAATTAGTGAGGCCCTTATATTATGTTCAGGGTGAGTCTTTCGGGTTGGTTCGGCTTACCGAGCGTTCGGACGTAGATGGTCAGAGTGCGCAGTTTTGCCATAAGGAGGCAGTTAAGGTTTGTGTTCTTCGTCAGTATTGTTATTGTTATATTTTCCTAATGTTACTGCTAGCATTCTAATCTATATATATATATATATATTTATGTAGAAGCACTCGTCGCCATTTACGGATACTTCAAGCGGCATTTTCTAGGTGCAGTGTAGTGTGCAGCACTGATTCATGAAGGCCCCCTCCCTTCTTGCCTCCTTCAACGAATCTCAAAGGCTTAAAGGGGGTCTTCAAAAGTCAGGGCTGCACGCAACGCTACTCCCGAAAAGTGCTGCTGAAGTATCCGTCTTTGGGGACGAGGAGACGGCAAGCCCATCGCTAGCACTATTCTTGCTACGGTTACTGTTCTTGTCATCACTATGGTCATTGTGTTGACTGTTCTTGCTATTGTTCGTATTTTTTGTATGCATAGGTGTGTATACATATATATATATATACACATGTGTACATACACACAAAAGCTTATGTGACATACATCAATGCGCATATATGATATGTATATGATATCGTTTCAGTATTTATTGCATGGGTATTTGCACACAAATGGTGCAGACACACACGTACAAACATATATGTATGAATATATCTATACAATTATATAATGTCTCTTTCTACACATATATATATATATGTGTGTGTGTATGTATATAAATGTATGTATTCATGTATGTATGTATGTATGTATGTATGTATGTATGTATGTATGTATGTATGCTGTACATACACTGTAAACGTCTTACTTTCACAACCAACTGCCAAGCACCCAATGCGGTGCTCCATTCGAAATTTTAGGGTTTAGGCTAGCTGTGTTCTATGGTCATGAGGCCTTAAACCCTAAACCCTAAACCCCAAAATGAGGCCAAGCAGTTGATGGGCCCTTTACAACTTAGTCCCCGTTCCATCGAATCAACTTCACAAACTCCGAGCTCCGAACTCTGAGTTTATTTAGCGGGAGAGGCTGCTGGGGGGACACCGACCATATAGAGGCTTCGGGTGTCCACCGTTTAGGGTTTAGGGTTCACGGTAGGGCCCTCCAACCTACCTCAGGTTCAGCTTACATGCACCTTCCATCATTTCCGGTACCAGCTGCAGCGATCTGCCAGAATATTTATCTATAGAACAGTGTTTGCCAACTGTGACTCTGCTCTTCTTTCCACTGTTTATTCGTGTGCTCTCATGCATCTCCTGCTCCACCAGGAACGAAGGAGTCGGGTTCTGCTTCGTGGGCATCGGAAGGACAGGGCGCGCGTTATCGCCTGATTGGGCCACCTGCAGCCATGAATAGCAATGATCGCATTGCGGTGAACCAGTAGCGATGCTGCCTGTGAGGTTTGATTTCGGGTGTATACTGGCCTCGAGAGGGGCTTTAATAAAGTCAGGCCTGCACAAGTGCTCGATTCGGTCTGCGAGGAAAGGGAAACGGCGGCAAAAAGGGCGAGGATGCCCTCAAAGACCTTCGCCACTGTGGCTGCAAGTATCGTCTGCAGAGTCATGCCCACCGTAGCGTTTCATCCTGCGAAGCCCTGATTCCCGGTCCACCGTCTTGCCAGTATGAACCAACGGAATGGGTGAGTGCACAGAGCGCTTCCTTCAGGAAAGTGTGGTGAGTTTGGGTGAATCTGGGTAGTATAGGGGCCTAAATTTTGCCTAAATAATAACCTACAGTATTTTGGGGCTTCCTGATTATACTTCTACTATAAGGGGACCCAAAGCCCTGTTCTAACTATTAAGGCCCCTACATTATCCGAAAACAACCAGGAAATTGATCACACCTGAGGGGATGATGTTGTCGTGGAGCGCGAAGAGGAGGAGAACGTCATAGACCGCGAAGAGCAGCTCGCGGAAGGCTATGGCAGCGCGGCTGAATCCATGGCAATATAGTGGCCTAAATAACTACCAATACTATTTTGGGCGTTCCTGTTAAAATCTTAGTTGTTATGGTATAACGTACCCCCCCAAACCCTATTCTAATTTTTATTAAGGCCCCTACATTATCTTGAGACTGGCATGGGTAGGGCTGGACATGGTTGGAACTCGGAAGCGCACTTCTAGCGAGTCAATCATAGTAAGTACCAAGATGCTCCTTAGTCTAGGGTTTAGGGTTTCGGAACTTCTCGGGCGCCTCTCCATTGGGTCGTCATCCTTGCATTGCGACTCTGCATCCGAATTTCCTGAGATATTGAAATAGCACTGTCTGCATTGATTCCTTCTTCTGCAACCGGGGCCTTGGTAATTAGAATTCGGTTCTGGGGGTAAACTCTACTAAAATTATAGTAAGGAACCTCTGCCTGCTCAGAACTGGCTTTCGAAGTTAACCCTAAGTTTCAGACCAGTGGCTGCAGCACTTCATGAGAGGTTGTCTGTTCCTCAGAGCTCTATATGCCATATAAGTATTTCTGGGGTTTGTTGTCTTTGTCGCTCTTCTTTTCGATGTCTCGCCGTAGAGCCTCCACCTAAGCCTTAGAAACCCTAAACCCAAAAAGTAATGCCTAACATACTAGCCTTTCCTCAGCCCCCCAAAAACGCAGACCTCCCCTGTCCATCGCTTTCGTACGGCCTTAGGGTTTAGGGTTTAGGGTTTAGGCCTGTTTGTCTGTCTGTCTGTTTGCATAGGCTTTGGAGGAAGTCGTGTCCGCTTCAATCTCGGTCCTTCTCCAAGGTTTTACATGTGTGTGTGTGTGTGCCTCTCTCTCTCTCTCGCTCTCTGTCGCTCTCTCTCTCTCTCTCTCTCTCTCTTTTTCTATATATATATATAGATATATGTAAATCTGAGCGACGACTGTTGTTTGTGTCAATACTATGCTCTTTTGACGCGAGATAGCTCCTTGCGCTATTTTTTGGCCCGAACTCGCTCTAAGATAAGAGGGGAACGAGATAGGAGCACTGCTGCTCATTTATGATCAGAGCTGCTACTAACGATACTTGAGCGAGATCCAGTTTTCCTGCCAGTACAAAATATGATGAAACGAGGTGGGGGCCCCGCTTCGAGATACCACAAGTAGCCAAAGCCTTGAATAAACGCAGCGGCTCGTATATGTATATATATATATATATATGTAGAGACTGTTGTCATTAATACTGTTATCACCATTATGTTTCAGTTCCTGTTATGAGTAATTGTTATTGTTGATATTGTTCGTATCATTATTGTTGTTTCAAACCCTAACTTCTAAAGCCCTAAACCTACAGTGTTGTTAGTATGATTCTTACTCTTATTGGGCCAGGGTCCCCGGATTGTGTGGTTTAGGCTTTAGGGCACGTTGCAACCGCGAGTGAAGCAAGGACTAGATCTTCCCAATGGGTCAAGGGCTCGGAGTTTAAAGGGGTTTAGGGGTTTAGGCTTTAGGGTTAATCAAGGGTTGTTGTAGGCTTCGAATCTAGGGTCGTGACATCGCTAAAACCTATAAACCTTAAACATACCTGTGCAAAGCCCGCAAATAGCGCGAAGCGGGTCTCACCTTCCGAGAACTTGGCTGTCCAAGGCCTCCGTGCCGTGTCCATGCGAAAGGCTGGTCTGGTCTGGCATGCGCTAGTTCGAGCACGAATACGTGTACCAGTAGAAGTAGTAGTAGTAATAATGGTAGTAGTAGTAGTAGTAGTAGTAGTAGCAGTGCCAGTAGCAGTAGTAGCAGTAGTAGCAGTAGTAGCAGCAGTAGCAGCAGTAGTAGTAGTACCAGTAGAAGTGGTAGTCTACTACTACTACTACTACTACTACTACTACTAGTACTACTACTACTACTACTACTACTACTACTACTACTACTATTGCTACTCCTACTACTACTACTACTACTACTACTGCTACTGCTACTGCTACTACTGCTACTACTACTGCCACTGCCACCACCACTACTACCACTACTACCACTACTACTACTACTACTACTACTACTACTACTACTACTACTACGTATACTACTACGTATACTACTACGTATACTACTACGTATACTACTACTACTAC